TCTATATATATTAATTTGGTGCCCGTGTCTAATTCCGTTAATATTCTATATATTTTTGCAACTGCGTGTCTCCCATCTCCCCGTGTTTCTAATAATTTTTTAAATGGATTCCACTCCTTTCTGGTTCTCACAGGTTTTGGAAGACTCCCAAAGAAATATTTCAATTGATGATATTGTAACTCGTCTATTCTACTGAAAACTTCTCCCTTTTTCTTCTCCAACTCCCTATATGTTCCTATTTCCTCACCAACCATTATATCTCTCAATTGCGCATCCTGTTTTATGATCCATTCCCCAGTGATATCTTCCTTCCTAGGAGCAAAATATTCTGAATTCCTTAGTGGCATTAACTGTGAATTAAAAACCCATCCGTTTTGTTTTTGTAACATTTCCCAGACTTTTAAAACAAAAGTGTACACACTTGTGTTAACATCTAGTCCTCTATATTGTGCAGGTAACCATATAATCCTACTTAAATTTGTCCCACTCAGTGTATTTTCAACTTTTCCCTGGGTTATGAATCCAGTCAAAAATTCTTGCAATTATCACCGCTTTATAATATCTCTTGAAATCTGGTAGTCCTAAACCACCTCTCTTTAATTCTAGTCAGAGTATCATAACGTATTCTTGGTTTTTTATTCCTCCATATAAATCCCAACAGAATTTTTCTAAGTGTTTTAAAAAAGACCTCTGGCAGTTTAATTGGAATCATTTGGAATTTATATAGAACTTTGGGCACAATTATCATTTTAATCAGATTTATACGACCCATCCAAGACGGATTTCCACTCCCCAACCTCTTCAACTCCTTAATTTCATTTAAAAGTGAAATATAGTTAATTATATACATATTTTTAATTGAAGCAGACCGTTTTATCCCAAGGTACTTTAATTCTTTCTCTCTCCAAACAAAGGGGAATTCTTCTTGTATTATTTCTTTTTCACTATTTTTAAGATTGATATTTAAAATTTCAGTTTTTGTTGGATTAATTTTAAAATTTGATAGTTCCCCATATTCCTTCAGTATTTTCATTAAGTTTGGAAGTGATATCTGAGGATTTACAACGTAGAACATCAAATCATCCGCGTAGGCCGCTACCTTATGTTCTCTAGCTCCTATCTTTATTCCCTTTTATATTTATGTTCTTTCTTATCATAGACAGAAGTGGCTCCAACGATAGGACATACAACAGTGGAGATAGAGGGCATCCCTGTCTTGTTCCTTTTGACATCCTAAGAATCTCCGATCTTCTACCATTAACCATAATAGCGGCTGTGGGCCCTCTATATAAGTTACCAATCCACTTCCTCATTCTATCCCCCAGCCCCATCGCTTCCAGGGTGTCCATCATAAATCCCCAGCTCACTCTATCAAATGCTTTCTCAGCATCGATTGACAGTAGTACTACTGGGGTTTTCCCCTTTTTACTTTCCTGTATGAGCAACAATGATCTCAATCCGTTGTCTCTGCCCCTCTCTTCCCGGGACAAACCCCACCTGATCTCCATGTATCCATTCTGGCATCAAGACCTTAAGTCTATTTGCCAAAACCTTTGCATACAGTTTAGTATCTACATTTAACAGCGCAATTGGTCTGTAACTTGCACACTGAGAGGGGTCTTTATCTTCCTTATGAATTAAAACTATATTAGCCTGTAAGGACTCTCCCCTTATCTCCCTCCATTAAGGGGGGATATGATCAACATGTATAAATACATCAGTGGTTCATATAGTGAACCCTGTAGAGTTATTCATATTAAGGTCATCACAGAGGACAAGGAGGCACTTTTTACGTCTGGAGGAAAAGAGATTTAATCTCCAAATATGGAAATGTTTCTTCACAGTAAGACATGTGTAATAGACTCCCTCAAGAGTTGGTTCTGGCCAGCTCAGTGGATTGCTTTTAAAAAAGGCCTGGATTCTTTCCTAGATATACAGAATATAACTGGATACTAACATTTTATAGGTAAAGTTGATCCAGGGAATATCCGATTGCCTCTCGGGGGATCAGGAAGGAATTTTTTCCCCTGCAGGAGCAAATTGGATCATGCTTTGCTAGGTTTTTTTGCCTTCCTCTGGACCAACTGTGGGTATAGAATTATAACTTTTTTTGTTTGTTTTATGGTTGAACTGGATGGACTTTTGTCTTTTTTCACTTTGTAACTGTGTGGCCCTAACACTCCAGACTCACTTTGTGAATAGGCCATATAGGCTGAGCATTGGAGATCAAATTGTTACTAGGACTGTTGCCTCAGCTAGGCTTTCGGTCTTTGCGCCATTCAGTGTTGAGGAAGAACCTTCCCACTGCTGCTCCTAACTGAAAGTGACACAGTTGATTACAGTACTCAGTCTTCTTGGGTATGAGTCTATCAGCATGGCACATCTTGACTTGGCAATATTTGCCCACTTTTTTTCTTTCAAAAACACTCCAGATTTGTCAGATTGCAAGGGCATCTAATGTGCACCGCCCTCTTCAGATCACCTCACAGAGGTCTGGGCTCTGGCTGGTCCATTCCAAAACTTTATTCTTCTTCTGGTGAAGCCATTCCTTTGTTGATTTGGATGTATGCTTTGGGTTGCTGTCTGCTGAAATATGAAGTTCCTCTTCATGTTCAGCTTTCTGGCAGAAGCCTGAAGGTTTTGTGCCAGTATTGACTAGCATTTGGAACTGTTCATAATTCCCTTTTTGGTGATGTGCAGTGTTGTTTTTTCTCCAAACATATCTTTTGGAATTATGGCCAAAAAGTTCAACCTTGGTTTCATCAGACCATAACACATTTTCTCACATGCTTTTGGGAGACTTCAGGTGTTTTTTTTGCAAAATTTAGCCGGTCTTGGATGTTTTTCTTAAGAAAAGGCTTCCGTCTTGCCACTCTACCCCATAGCCCAGACATATGAAGAATACGGGAGATTGTTGTCATGTGTGCCACACAGCCAGTACTTGCCAGATATTCCTGCAGCTCCTTTAATGTTGCTGTAGGCCTCTTGGCAGCCTCCCAGACCAGGTTTCTTCTTGTCTTTTAATCAATTTTGGAGGGACATCCAGTTCTTGGTAATGTCACTGTTGCGCCATATTTTCTCCACTTGATGACTGTCTTCACTGTGTTCCATGGTATATCTAATGCCTTGGAAATTCTTTTGTACCCTTCTCCTGACTGATACCTTTTAGCAATGAGATCCATCTGATGCTTTGGAATCTCTCTGTGGATCATGGCTTTTGCTGTAGGATGCGACTAAGAAATTGTCAGGAAAGACCTACTAGAACAGCTGAACTTTATTTGGGGTTAATTAGGGTTAATTTGGAGTCCTGGTCAATATTCACTCCATAAGATGCATAGACATTTTCCCCTCATTTTTTGGGGGGAAAAAGTGCATCTTATGGAGCAAAAAATACGGTATCTTTGTAATTTTTTTTACATCACAGAAACCTGACATTTTAATGGATTTGTAGACTTTTTACATCCACTGTATATGCAGTAAAGCATGCTTGTTATACTCACTGTGAAACTTAAGGGGTTAATCCTTTGCATTGAGTAAAAGATGTTTGATCCTGTCTTCTCTGATCCTCTCCTTCTTCCTTTTTTTTTTCCTTGAGAGAGTGCATGTGATCAGTACAGGGCCAGTCAGCACTGTCCAGATAGTCAGGGGTTATGCAATCTAATAGGTCAGTCAGAGGAGAATGAAAACTCCTCCTACAAGCTTTCACCATTGCTCAGCTGGACACTGATAGAAGTTACAAGACTGCTCTAACTGCTGTTGAGAATAGGTATTTTGCAGTTTATATTTACTAAATTAATTGCATATCCATGCAGGGTCCTGAGTTTAGTAACACTTTAACCACTTGCCCTCCTGAGGATTTATCCCCCTTCATGACCAGGCCATTTTTTGCGGTACTGTGCTGCATTATTTAACTGACAATTGCGCGGTCATGCAACGCTGTACCCAAATGAAATTTATGGCCTTTTTTTTTTTTTCCACAGATTGAGCTTTCTTTCGGTGGTATTTGATCGCCTGTGCGGTTTATTTTTTGCGCTAGAAGCAAAAAAAGACCAACAATTTTGAGAAAAAAACAATATTTTGGACTTTTTGCTATCCAGTAAAAAAAATCTAATTTCGTCATAAATTTACATCAAGGACCAATGCGGTAGACCATGCATGAATATTTTGCAAAACTGTATTAATTAGTTTATTGAATATATGTTCATAAGAATTTCAATCATCAATCAAGAGACAATCAAACACCAATATCCATCAGCTCACCCCAGACAACGTTGTCTGTCCCCCTTACAATAAAACATGACGTCGCGGTATGGTCATATAGTCAAGAGTATGGATAGCCAGACAGCGACTCAAATCGCCAGTCGTCTGTCATACTGCTACTCTCAAGCCTGTAGATTAGCCCCCTAATTGGTCAAAGATGGGAGTAATGGAAAATTATGAATAGTCCATTACATGGCTGCAGGAAGCTATCCAAGTATGAATGTATAGGTGCAGCTAGCACTGAGTAAATGTTGTGCTGTATAGAGTCCAGGTCCTTGGATCCTCAAGTGAAGTAAATTGAATTCTCAGTAGGATATTGTGTTGTAACAAGTCCCACAACAGAAGTCCCTTGATAGAATGTGCAGTCTTGTGATAGGAGACAGGAAACAACTATTGGTACAGGTATATCAGTGCAGATAAAGTTCTTAGCAAGGCAGTAACAGCAAAGATTGATGGGCAGAGAAGAGCACTAGCAGTTCAGCACAGGCTTCCAGCTTCATGGAGCAGTAAAGGTGAGCAGGTGCTTATAAATTAAGCGTTCTTACTCACTGGCAAGCTCTCCCAAGACCAGGTTTCCACTCTCCCCATTCAACTACCCCCCCCCCCGAAAGTAGCAATTCTTAAAGAGGAGGGGAGGATACAGACAAGCAGAACTTCCCCTTTTGGGTTAAGTTCTGCTTTAAAGCGTCTACAAGGGTTCCTTGCTCTATAAACTTATTTTGTTTTTTCTTTTTCAGAAGATATCGAAGTGGTGTTTGCAGTAGGTAACTGGGAGGCACGGGGGTCATTTTCCCAAGCAGACGTACACAGACAAGTGGCTATAGTTTTTAAAACTCCACCTTACCATGATCCAGGAATACGTCAACCTGTAAAGGTCCAAATGCAGCTAAGGAGGCCATCTGATAAGGAGGTTAGCGAGCCTATGGAATTTCAATATCTGCCAGATGAAGGTATGTTGGCTTTGTTTAAAATAAGTGTGTAGTGACTTTTTTGGTTTTTCTTTTGTGTGTTTTTTTTTTTTTTTTAAACATTTTCTTATATAATCTTACAGTAGATTTTCATCACATTGAAGAGAAAAGAAAGCGAACATTAGAAAGCTTCAAGCAAATTGTGAAAAGGAATCCGTTTGCAGGTGAGAGTTTCAGCCATTCCAATGTTTAATCTTGTATTTAGCCAGTGATTAGGTATTCAGACAATAGCCCAGCAGTGGGATTTGTTCATCTGCACTGTATAGCAAGGATGGAGGAGACTGTTAGAATTTTTTTTTTCCTCATTCAGCCCACCGCTAAACTAAAACATTTTGATAATTATATGGACCGCTTGAAGCCCAATTCTAGGGTTTTTTTTTTTTCACTTTTAAAGAGTTTATTTGGGCCAAGCTAGCCAAAACTTTTTCCACTGCTAAGTTATTCGGTGGCTGTGAGCTCTGTATCATACTGTAGTAGCATCAGCTACATATAGTATGCTGTGCTGTTTGAGCAGCAGTACGGACTGTTTCCCATCTGCTGCTGGAACGAAATTGAGTCAGCCATTCAGAGGGAACCTTGTATTTTTATTTATAAAAAATTGATCATTTCTTTGTGAGTGGGCATACATTCAAAATCAGCAGGGGATTAAATACTTATTTCCTTCACTATACATACATACGTGTGCGTGTGTGTGTGTGTGTGTATGTATGTATATGTATATATGTATGTGTGTATGTGTATATATATGTGTATGTGTATATATATATGTGTGTGTGTGTATATATATGTGTGTATGTGTATATATATGTGTGTATGTGTGTGTGTATGTATATATATGTATACAGTTGCAAGAAAAAGTATGTGAACCCCTTGGGATTACAAGGAGTTTTGCATGAATTGGGCATAAAATGTGCTCTGAACATCATCTAAGTCACAACAATAGAAGAACACAGTCTGCTGAACATAATAGTACACAAACATTAGATGTTGCCATGGTTTAATTGCACATAACATGTAAACATTCACAGTGCATGGAGGAAAAAGTATGTGAGGCCCTAGCTTAATGACTTCTCCCAGAGCTAATTGGAGCCAGGAGTGAGCCAACCTTGACTCCAATCAGTGTGATGATATTGGATGTGTTGCTGACAGCTGTCCTGCTCTTAAAAAACACACACCTGTTTTGGATTTACTGGTTTCAAGAAGCACTGTCTGATGTAAACCATGCCTCGCAGAAAAGAGCTCTCAGAAGACCTACGATCAAGAATTGTTGACTTGCATGAAGCTGGAAAGGGTTACAAAAGTATCTCCAAAAGCCTTGATGTTCATGTGTCCACGGTAAGACAGACTGTCTACAAATGGAGAAAGTTTAGCACTGTTGCTACTCTCCCTAGGCGTGGTCGTCCTGTAAAAATGACTGCAAGAGCACAGCGCAGAATGCTGTATGAGGTAAAGAAGAATCCCAGAGTGTCCGCTAAAGGCCTACAGAAATCTCTGGCACATGCTAACATTTTTGTTGACACATCTACAATAAGGAAAACATTAAACAAGAATGGAGTACATGGGAGGACACCACGGAGGAAGCCATTGCTGTCCAAAAAGAATATTGCAGCACATTTGAAGTTTGCAAAAGAGCACCTGGATGTTCCACAGCACTACTGGCAAAATATACTGTGGACAGATGAAAGCAAGATTGAGTTGTTTGGGAAGAACACACAACACTATGTGTGGAGAAAAAAAGGCACAACACACCAACATCAAAACCTCATCCCCACTGTAAAACATGGCGGAGGGAGCATCATGGTTTGGGGCTGCTTTGCTGCCTCAGGGCCTGGACGGATAGTTGTCATTGATGGGAAAATGAATTCCAGAGTTTATCAAGACATTTTGCAGGAAAACGTACTACCATCTGTCCGCCAACTGAAGATCCGCAGAGGATGGGTGATGCAAAAGGACAATGACCCAAAGCATACAAGTAATTCAACAAAACAATGGCTGCAACAGCACAGAATACGCCTTCTGGAGTGGCCCAGTCAGAGTCCTGACCTCAACCCGATTGAAATGCTGTGGCATGACCTTAAGAGAGCGATTCACACCAGACATCCCAAGAATATTGCTACACTGAAACAGTTTTGTGAAGAGGAGTGGTCCAAAATGACTCCAGATCGTTGTGCAGGTCTGATCTGCAACTACAGGAAACGTTTGGTTGAGGTTATTGCTGCCAAAGGAGGGTCAACCAGTTATTAAGTCCAAAGGTTCACATACTTTTTCCTCCCTGCACTGTGAATGTTTACATGTTATGTGCAATTAAACCATGACAACATCTAATGTTTGTGTAGTATTATGTTCAGCAGACTGTGTTCTATTGTTGTGACTTAGATGACATTCAGAGCACATTTTATGCCCAATTCATGCAAAACTCCACGTAATCCCAAGGGGTTCACATACTTTTTCTTGCAACTGTATATATGTATGTGTGTGTGTGTGTGTGTATGTGTGTGTGTGTGTGTGTGTGTGTGTATATATATATATATGTATGTGTATGTATGTATGTGTGTGTGTGTGTGTATATATATATATATATATATATATATATATATATATATATATATATATATATATATATATATATACATATACATATACATACCCCTGCCTCAACTGATAGCCTTGGGTGGATTGAAACCTCAGCTGTCTCATCACATGGCCTTAACATTTTTTTTGTCTCTCTCGAAGTCCGATTTTGACTTTTTTGTTATTGGACATCGATCATTCAGATTTATCCAACAGTGTATAGGCACCATTAGACACTAAATCTAATTTTCTTTATTTTACTTACTCCATTTTACCTTTATAGCCATCATCCACCCCTAAGAATACCTTTTTAGAGTGATTTTTTTTTTTTTTTTTTTCTTTCACATGGAACAAAAAGCATTCGCTTTAATTTTACCATCAAGACATTTGATTTCAACAGACATTTATGTTACCTTTACTACTTGTTTTATTTTTAGTGTCCTCACATTAGATCAATTAATCTTGCCCTCAAGTCTGTGTAGTTGTCAATGGTGTTTGTGTCCTGAGAGCAGAATATTAAATGTGCTGACACAAATATATTTTTAGGAAATGAAACAAAACACCAGCGCAGGATTGCTATACCGACCCGCAGCATTCCGAAACCAGGTTTGTCATTTTGTTTTTGTCCTTCCTCTTGCCCATTCCTCTATCCTCTTAATTGTTCTTGATAATAGAACCATTTACTATCATTTTGTTTGTTTTGATTTAGAACCTGCACCAACTCCTATTCTTCAAAGTTCTCAGATGTCGGTACCAATCCTTTCTTCTGTCACGTCATATGTGGTAAAACCTGATGTTGGAGATTCAATGTCCACACTTCTCTCTACTGTGAATATTAATGACTTTGCCAGTATTGGATTTTCCCCTATGCCTCTGGTGCAACAGCCTCCACCACCACCAACTGAAGAGCGTATAGATTTGGACTATCCTTCTTTTACAGATGATGCAAACCTTGATTTAGTAAACATGCTGCAAAATGACCCTGACAGCCATTGTGGCAGCCTAAGTTCTATTGACAATAGTGATTTTGGCCAGCTTCTCAGTCAATCCCAGTCTTCAGGTTCTCTTTCACAGGCCCTGCATGAACCTGGGCCTAATTCGAGTACCCTCATGGCTTATCCGGAATCAATTGCTCGGCTCATGGCTTCTGGATCTACTGAGGGGGCTGGTGGAGAGGAAAGCTCTGAAAGACTTGACAGCACCTTAATGAATGGGATTTTTGACATGCAACAAGGAGAAAGTTTAACCTCAATTATAGATATTGACTTTTCATCTTTCTTGGGTATGAAATGAAAGCTTACAGAGTGAAGATGCTTACAGAGCTCAGATACAGCTAAGTTGTATGCCTTCACTAGTGAAACAGTATAATTTTTCAGGACACAGTTGGCCTTCAACTCCTTCAGGGTGCTTTGCTGTGTAGGTGATATTGGGCCTACAACGTTGAGGATTGTGCTGGCCCTGTTGGATTCATCCTGATTCACTTTAACCAGAGAACTTGAAGTAGCCATGTTGCATCTTTAATGGCCTTGATGCATGCTAGTCTTGTATGAATAATCTTATTGCTATGTATTTTAAAGTAAAGTCACCTATCACTTTCTAATAATCAACAACAAATGCATCCATGTTCAATAAGGCAGACAATTCATGCTTAGCTGGCTATAGAAAAGATAACATTTATTTTTTTATATGTGCTCTGTTGGCACTGTATTACCCCCAGATGTAATTGTTCTATGCAGCACACATTTTCCTCTTTACCATTTGTTTGTAAAGGAGTTAAGAAGCTTAATTTGGTTACTCTGACATTTAAGCAGTGGTGACTCTTAGAATTTGGATTGGTATCTCCCATTTAAATAAAATATACACAGATCGTTAACCCATAAATTTAGATTGTGTTTGGGCTAATTAACTTTACTACACTCGTTTACAAATGTAACAATTTTAAAGGTTTTGTTGAGATATATATTTTACAATGAAGTTGTAAGGTTTCTATTTCTACCATTTAAAACGAGGGAATGTGAATGGATCTTTGTTCTCAGACTATGCTTTGGTAATTTAATTTACAGTTATCCAATTAACAAAGTGCCTTTTTAGTGCATCCTGACCAGCTATCACTTTTAGTTCCAGTTTTGTAATGAGTATAGTTTTAAAATCCCAGAAATAGCGACTTCCAATATCTGTAGACAAGATATTTTTTATTGATACAATAAATAGCGCTTGCTTTTTTTCTAGTACACTTCAAATCTATCTTTTTGTTTAGAACACAAGCTTACCATTGCAGTCTATCAGTAAAAATTATAACATGAGAGGCTGTTGGATTGACTATATTCTCTTTTCACATTTGCCTACGCAGCTTGCAATGGGGGGAGGAAACCGAAATTTACAGTTGAAAGAATTAGTTTGTGAACGGTTTGCTTTTCTGTATTCCTGACTTGGATTCAGTGTGATCTGCATTTGACTATCCTGATGCAGATTGGAATTAATTTGTCTTTTACAAATTTGCAAAATTTATGTCCGGTCCTAGTAAATCAGCCCTTGGGTGCCACCCTGGGGTGTGTTTGTCACTTTGTCTCTGGTTTTGCCCATAGAGAGGGTGTCAAGAATTTCTAAAACGTGCATACTGTTGGACTATGGACTTAGAAATACCTTTGAAACCCCTTAGCCTTAAATACCTGAACACACCTTCCAGGATATTCTAGTCTGTTGATGGCCCTTATTGCACTGCAACAGGATTTCTGTATATCTCTTCTGTCATCAAACATCTTTCCTGCTATTTGTTTCTTAAAAATAGCACACTGACTGCGATGTACCTGAAAAAGCCAGGAGTAGGTAATTCTGCTGCTCATGCATGGTAGGAACGCCGTCCCAGGCTAGCCATTAGAGAAGGCTGCAGACTTGTGGATGGCAGCGGCGGTGATGGACCATCGAGGGAGAGCACAAATCTCACATGCTGAAGGAGGCAAGTCTACCACAATGGTGCAGGTATCCTGTGCGTGTTCAAACACAAAAGAAGCCACACTCTGTTAAAAACTTTGTGTACAATTATTAAAGTATTCCAAACTCAAGCTGTCCACCTGTCTCACAGGCCCTGACTTTGCTGTATATCATGTGCATGCATGTTATGGCAAGAACCATGGGGACCAGCATAGCACGGTTCTACTGGAATTGAAGCATCTGACATCAGTTGCCTTTTTATAAGGTGTACTATTCCAGACATTAAAGTGTGTCTAAACCTGAAAAATGTTATATTTTGCAACTTGCCAGTTCTTGGATGTGGTGGCTGCATTGTTTTTTTTATTCAGGCATTTTCCTTTATTTTCACTTGTTGATCCAACCAGTAACACATTTTCTGTCCTAGAAAAATAACACCTCACTGTATTAGGACTCTCCATAACAAAGATAGTTGGGTTGTGTAGTCCTCAGAGAGGTAAGAGCAACAGTAATGGATTACCTTCTGTGCTTTCTACCTCACTTTTACCCCCATCCTGCCCAGGCCAATTTTCAGCTTTCAGCGCTGTCGCATTTTGAATGACAATTGCATGGTCCTGCAATGCTGTACCCATATGAAATTATCATGTTTTTTTTTCACACAATTAGAGCTTCCTTTTGGTGGTATTTAAAGGATAAGTTCAACTTTTGGACAAAAATGAGCCTGGAAAGCATTGCACCAGCGATCAGTAGATTGCTGATGCCATGCAGGTCTCCTGCAGACCTGTCAGAATATCTGCTTGCCGTACAGGATGTACAAGCAAGCAGATATTCTGACAGGAAGCTTCAATGAACTACCAGAGCCATGGTAGTTCATTGAAAAAACTACAAGCCGACAGCCGCTAAGTTTGTTCATTCACGAAAGTCCGTGAATGAAGGATGTGTCCGCACTGTTTTCTATTTTGACAGATAGTACTGGCAGAAGTCACAAAGTTGAGCTGATTGATCTCATTCTACTAAACCTGATCTGCCAGAGAGAGCATTTTATAATGAAAGCAAATTTCCTAATTGCTGTGACACACTAGAAAGAGAATTTGTACTAGAATGTTCACATATTTTCTTAGAGACATTGGATAAACATTTTCATTTGAATTCTTTATCATTTAAAATGTGGTGTTTTGTATTTATTGTAGAACAAACACCTTATAGTTAATACACAGATCTTTTCCTAAATGTAAACAATTTTACTAGAATGAATAAATAGTAATTTAGATATTTTTCTTGGAGAGATTTTTGGTCAGAACCAAAAGGCCACATATTTGCTCACGTTATCTCCATTAACGGGGAAAATTTAATTCAGGATTGTGGAACTTGCTCCTTCATGTGTTTTTTTTTTTTTTTTTTTTTTTTTTCTCTCCACAAATATGGTGTATGCTATTGCTGACTATGCTAGTTGCTTGCCCAATAGGCCGGCTTCAATACTTTGAATGAATTACCTAGAATAAGTATGAACATCTGTAAAGTCAGAGAAGTTCCTATCTTCATACATGATCTGACAGAGGACAACCAGAAAGCTAGCCGCCTCAGAATGAGCAGTCAGCAATGCCAATATGAATAAGATTTCTTTTAGGCACCGAGTATATGGCTAAATGTCTGGGCTTTATCATGTGACAAGAACAGAAGGGAGCCCGGAGCAGCTTTCTCCTTTTCAAATTGGTATTTCGGATATTATTTTACAATTTACCTGTTGTAGCTTAGAATGTTAACATGGCTCTAGGTTACATAAAATTTATGCCAAATGTTTATTGTGCAATTACACAATGTTTGTGGTTAAAGAATGCCAATCAAAGTAGAACATATAATAGCTCTGGATTGGATTGAAAAGGAGGAGATTTCATAATATGTGGGACTGTTAAATCCTACGTTCCTGTTTGTCATTAATAAAATGGTAATATCGGTTTCTTATAACAGAGCAGCTAATGTGTTGTCCTAGGACCATTCACACATGTTGATTGACATTATGGCCATACAGGACACGCACATTACAATCTGACTGTACAAGCTACTGTTTACAAAAAGGACTGTGTGAGCGGTTATTAAATTAAAAGGTTAACTAGCTATTGCACTACATAGTCGATGGTAAACCTAAAGGGCATTGACTAGAGAATAAGATAGTCACTGTGTGGTCATTTTGTAGATTAAGTACTGGGGAAATTGTTTTTGGAGCTTAGCCTGCCCCACTTCTGACATGTTAAAGGAGTTTACAGCCTCTTGTTCATATCAAGAGGTTTAAAAGGAGAGTGGTCAGTAGATAAACAGGTACAGCTTATGTAGAAAGATTTGTTTCATCTCTGTGCATCACCTGAGGATAGTCATTTCAGTGGGTATATGTAAGGATTTGCAACCACTTTAACAGCTTAAGGACCGCCCTTTAGTAGATATACTGCTACAGGGCGGCACCTGTGCGCAAAATCGTGTAAATATATATATCCCCAAAAATAAGACACTGTCTTATATATTTTTTTTTTTTTGGCTCAAAAAAACACTCTAGGTCTTATTTTTGGGGTAGGTCTTATTTTTTAAATGTCCAGGTGTGAACAGGGGGTGCAGAGGTGAGCTGCAGATAGTTGTGGATGAGGGTTACTATGGAGAGGGCCGGTTGATGAGTTGTGAGCTGCAGTCAGGTGTTGCAGGGGTGACTTGACAGGTGAATTTCAGACAGGGGAAATATGAGTTGCAGACAGGGAATGCTGAGCTGTGGCCAGGGGGTGCAGAGCTGAGCTGTGGCTGGGGGGTGCAAAGGTGGGTTGCAACGCAGCTCACCTCTGCAGCCCCCCAGCCACAGCTCACCTATGCACCCTATCTGCAACTCACCTAACTCATTTTACCTCTGCAACACCTGACTGCAGCTCACCTTTGCACATCCCCCCTTCCCCCTCCACTAGCTAGCTATGCAAAACACAGCTGTCAGCAGCCGGCCCCTCTCTATAATAGCTCCCGTTTCGGGTCCTATCTTCCCACAGTGCACCAAGGGGCACTTACCGCTCTGCCTCTTCCCCACTGGCTGGTGATCACCCCTGGGGCATCGGCTTCCATGCACTAGGCTTCAGGAGGAGATGCCTCGCCCCTAAACGCACTGCATACTGCACCTGCAGGTATCTGTTCCTTCCCTGTCCTGAGTACAGAGGTAGGGAGGTTCTGTTGGAGCGGATGGTGCTGTCACTTCAGACGCGCTTCTGTGTTTATAAGAGACGGTAGATATGGGTGTGCGCAAGGCCAGTGGCAGAATGGCGTTCCGGCTGAAAAAAAGCCCTGATCACAACTAGGTCTTATTTTGGGGTAGGTCTTATACTTTAGCAATTTCCAAA